TTACCTGAGGAACTGTCAGTAGGTTAGCCTGCCCTACTCTTTCTGACAGAAGGGGAGTTTTACTGACTTCGTCAGTCAACAAATTTCAGTTCACAGGAAAGAGCCTTTTCTGTAATACTCGCCACCTTTTAGGACATCTTGCTACCAGAAGTGAGATCCACCTCCAGTCTCCTGGCCTTCCAAAAGGAATTCAAAAGGTAGCTCTGCCGATTGGCCTGGTATCCCAATGGGGTCACTTTATGCTGGAGGAATAAGATCCCACCCCTGTACCTCTTGGATACTTAATTCCTAGCTTTATCTCATTAATGTTAATGCTTTAAATGTTTGTATATTTGTGTTTTTATTGTATTGTAAGATGGCCAGAGATGCTTTAGATAGTGATATGGATGACATATACATTTAATAATAAAGAATTTAATAATAAACAACAATATTTTATTTATTATTAGAACTGTTATAAAACACACATTAACGGATGAACTATGTTGTTATTGTGTCTCCATGCAGGCATTAACAGACCAACAACAGTTTGGCAAAGCTGATGATATGTATGATAAATGTATTGATCTTGAGCCAGATAATGCTACTACCTACGTTCATAAGGGGTAACTATTTGTTTTAATATTAAGTTCACATACGATAACATAATTTTTAATTATACAGTAGCACTTCTTAATACAGTTAATATAATTATAGTGCAGAATAATACTTTGCTCAGTGAATCATAATAAAACTTTATTGGTAAAATATCTGAATTTTAGCCCTAAGTACTATTACTGTGGATCCTAGTCTGAAATTGTTAATTTAAGCATCAAATGTGAAAGTTGAAAAGTTTACATTATTTCTATTGGTCAGTTGCTTAACTACTAAATGGGTTAATGAGATGCCCAATTTCATATTATCTTTTTTCTCTCAAATATGACACCATGAATTTGAATTTAGAATGCCAGATCTGTGTGCAGTGACAGAAAGGATCCAGTACTCAAAGACCTGATCACAGTTCGGGCACTTAGCATTTACAATGATTGCAATGGCTATCATGTGACCCCAACCTTCCCTGCTAGTTTGTGATAAAGTCAATGGGATAAGTCATTGAATGGGACAAAAAAACCCCATAAAAATGGTTGTGACTCAACCAATTCCCAAGTTCCAATCCAAGTTGGGGTCATACATCGAAGACTGCCTGTAGAACTAAAGTGTTTTAGCCAGAAAAAAAGGAGATGAGGGATGCTTGGTATGGACAAAAGTGAATGGAGAGAAACTTTATCTCATTGTGGGGAAAAAATACAACTATAGCAATAGCAGTTAGACTTATATACCGCTTCATAGGGCTTTCAGCCCTCTCTAAGCGGTTTACAGAGTCAGCATATTGCCCTCAACAACAATCTGGGTCCTCATTTTACCCACCTCGGAAGGATGGAAGGCTGAGTCAACCTTGAGCCGGTGAGATTTGAACAGCCGAACTGCAGAACTGCAGTCAGCTGAAGTAGCCTGCAGTGCTGCATTTAACCACTGCGCCACCTCGGCTCTATGTACGTATTTACATGATCCTGTAAAGTTCATCACTGCAAGAGTTTCATGATGACTAGTAATTGAATAGTTTTAAAAGGAGAATGGATAAATTCATGAAGGGAAAATCTATCAAGGGTTATTTTCATTTGTTATTTTGTGTAACTATTCTTATGATTGTAAATTATAGCAAAAATAGGGACATATTTAGACTTCAGCTTCATCGAAAATGTATCCGATCGGCTATTGTGAAAATGAATCCAAGCTTGATTCAGCAGGAATATATTTGTCATTTTCATGCACATGAGTTGTAGACTAAATGTTCACCATTGATCTGTAATGATTTTTTTCCAGTTTACTTCAGCTTCAGTGGAAGCAAGATTTAGATAAAGGTTTGGAACTTATAAGCAAAGCTATTGAAATTGATAACAAATGCGATTTTGCATATGAAACCATGGGGACAATTGAAGTGCAAAGGTAAACATATTTTTTTAAGTTTGGCATCTAAAATTCTGAATTACTGTTGGAAAAACATACCATAAATTGTTCTCAGTAGCCGTAGAATTTATGCATTAGATTAACATATGTTCAGGCAGAGTTAGATATTAATTAAAAAAGAACTTTTTGTGGTTATATTGTACAATCATCAACTTTTCCCATTATGAATTTCATTTAAAGATAAATTGTTTTCATAGTCTTTCCTTTGATCAGATGTGCCTAATCTTTGAGCTTTTTGGGAGATGGCCCTGCATCTGTTTCCAAAATTTTATAATTTATATATTTTAATGTTCTATTAAACCTCATATCAGTTGCAGACTATTTTTAAACTTGAAATGTATATGACTGATTTCTACTTGTTGCCATATCAGTCTTTCCTTCTTTCTTTACAATACATTTTTCACTATTGCAGGGGCAATCTGGATAAAGCCATTGATATGTTCAACAAAGCTATTAATCTAGCCAAATCAGAAATGGAAATGGCTCACCTCTACTCACTCTGTGATGCTGCTTATGCCCAGACAGAAGTTGCTAAAAAATATGGATTGAAGCCACCAACGCTGTAAAACAAAAAAAGGAGAGGAATGATCTTTTAAAAAGTAAAGCTGCCCACTTCACCCTAGTCCTAAAGACACTGTTGCAGTGTGTTGAATGGTGGAAGTTACTTTTTTTTGTGCGTGTGCTGTTGTAATTCTGTTAAATGTTTAGGTGTTGTGGGAATGGCTATTTAAGAAAGAAAACAATTCCACCCCTTGCCCTCCCCCATCAAATAATTGTTAGAGGAAACTTAAAAGCAAAATTACAAGGGGATCAAATATTATTTTGGCCATGCAAATAAAAATCTTCCTGACTCGTTTTTTAAGGGTGTGTTGTGAATGACTGGTTCTAACCACAAGAGTGTTATGCAACATGCTTTCCTGTTGATTTTAACAATATATATCCATTATTTTAGGTTTGGGGAAACAACAAAAATTGTGAATTGTTTGATGGGGAAGATTTTGTAGCAATAGGTACTGAAGCTTTTTCCCCCCAAAAGAAGATCTCGTATGCAACATTTCCTTCCCTTTGGCTTCTGTTTCATGAGAGACAGTGGCTAAACTGTTTTAAGGATATTTTTGTATATATTTTATAGTTCATTCACTGTCATGTGAGGATGTTCTGTGTTCCAAAAGCAAATTATTTTGATTTGAGCATTCTTGGAATTTATTATTATTATTAAACAGTTTTTCAAAACAATAGCAAAATTGCATAGTCACTGCCTAAGAGATCCTGGAACTGTTCAAAACAATATGCTGCAATTGCTGTGTCATACAAGTAAGGGTTTAGAGCCTTGGAATGAAGTTTGATTCAAAAGGTCTGACTGATTTGAAAACTATAGTTAATTATTCTTTCATGAAAAAAATATTTTCTTGTATTGATACTACAGTACACAAACTTTACTTATGTTAAAACAGTCTTACTCTGAATTAGAGTACTTAGAAAATTAAATATGTTATCAGTTGTTCCACTGTTATTTGGAAATTCAATCCATAATTCTTGTAGTGCTATTTCAACTTACCTGAAATGCATTGTATAGCACATTTGATTATTCCTTCATTGGAATTTCTTTTTGCTACCAATGCCAAAGAAATAAAATTGTATTTATAATGTCTTTCCCCAAAGATTGTTGTCTTTTTCACTTATTAAAAGATGGTGGCTGACCTGGAATGATTGAGCAAAGACGAATAATATTGCTCAATGTTCAAGTTTAAATTTCAGTGCTTCAAAAAGAGCAGTGTCCATCCATATGTCCATCTCCATTTCCCTGCTATCATATTTTAAAAGGAGTTTTTATTTGCATGGCCATTTAAGGCATTTTTCTCTTGAAAGCAATGAAGAATTAAGCATGTGTGAACTAATACTAGCATTTTGAATTATCAGAATTTTTGCCTGTTATTCAGATATTTGAAGTTGCACTGAAACAATGCATATGATTCTTTTTGTAAATGACTTATACATGTAAAGTCACAAAATAAATATTCTGTTCAGATATCTTTATACATATGTGGTCGGGTATTGGTTGGAAATTGTCTATAATTGGGTAAAGAAATGTACTAAAAGCTGTTGCAGAAATGAAATTAATGAAACTTCTAAAATTCTGTTTATTTTTTTTGCTGATATTTGGGGAGAAAATCCATTCCATATTAGGGATGAGTTTCAGCCTTTAAACACCCCAATTGTGAATATAGAGTTTTCTTCAAAATGTTCACAAAGACTGAAATTGGAAATTTCAAAAGACATAACTTTCAGTATTCTGGCTGTTCTAACATTGTCACTAAGCTGTTTATGACTTATGATTGGGCTGTATTTTTCAGAATTTTTACAGTCTAATTAGTATGTGCAATAGCAAGGACCAATTATGCCCCTGCAGCTCTTGGTGTAGAGTGAATAGGGGGATATGGGAATGAAGTGTGTAGAGCAGTGGTTCCCAACCTTTTTTTGGCCAAGCCCCACCTAAGCACCTTTAAAATCCTGATGCCCCGGTGAAATATAATTCTTACTTTACTCAAAAAGTGAACTCTACTCACGTGGAAGAAGCCTAAGAGGCCATTAACTTGGTTTAAACAAGGTTCAAATTGCCCCATTTAGAAATCAAATTGCCCTCCTGTGGGGCATAGGCCCCACGTTAGGAACCACTGGTGTAGAGGAAAAAAACAAGTATATGCTGGACAGGAATATTAATAGCCAAACAATCTTCTCATCTATTTGATAAGTTGCTTTTTTAAAAAGTATGTCATAAAAAGCTAACTTCAAATGAGTAAATGGATGGATTCTATTAATGTTTTATTGTCAGATAATGCAGAAGCTGTGTGTATGTTTGTCTCTATACACACTGCATTGATAATGCTGCTAAAAGTTACATAAAGACTAGAACATATGGGGTTGATTTGTTGTATTTTAATATTATTCATGCAATTAAGAAGCATCATAAAGCACACTTTTTGACCAGAAGATATTGTTATAAGCAAGCATACATTTTATTTTAAAGATTTATATGGCCACCAATCGTAATTAACTCTGGATGAATTAAAACAATCATAAAACTAATAAACAACATTAAAAAAATGAAAACTCTGCACCCCAATTGTCTCATGAAGATTCCACATAGCAGGCTCATCTACTCTTTTACCATGCCTCCCACCCATACAATACCAGCAATTCAGTATAAAAAACAACCAGCCAAATCGCGAGCAGGAAGATGTTGCACAAGGTAGGAAAGCATTTGCTTTCAGAAAGTGGGGGAGGAGGTTCCTACAATACAGAGGTCTTCAATCTTGGCAACTTTAAGACTTGTGGACTTCAACCCCCAGAATTCTACAAGTCTTAAAGTTGCCAAGTTTGGGGACTCTTGCTACAGTACATTGGGCAAAGCTAATATTTTTTAAAAGTGTAAGAAAACTTGAAGACAGTTATTAAGGTGTTTAGTTGTCCTATCTGGCTTATAATTATGTTGAGTGACCAAGAGAGTTAGTTTATTTAAAGCACTAAAATATCTGCAGTCCAGGCAGCTGCAATCCGTTCATTGTGTTCCATACCATAAACCATTCCCAGTTTTGAATATAATTTAAGGGGGGAAGAGGGCCAGAACACCCTTGGAATGACAAGAATGGTAGGTTAATTTACTGGACTATAATGCACAAATTTCTAAATGGTTCTCAAGAACTAGCTATAGATCTGAATTATTGATGAAAGCTGAATTGTAGCTTAAATTCATTCCTACCAACCTCCAGCTGTGACACCATTTTAGATTTGGATAACACTATTCCTGCATGAGGTTTAGTTTGATGTGAGGAACCAGGGATTGTGGATAGCTGCAGCAGCTGAAAATACAAGCTCTTCTGGGTCAGTTGGAAGATACAGGATGACTTCTTCATATAAGTATTGGGAAGTGGGAGTAATGAGAAGATAGAGAGGCAATCTGGACCTTGTGATGTTAGGACTTCTGAGAGACAGAATGCCAAAACTGCTTCTTTAGGTAATAACTCAAACCTTTTTGATGAATGTTTAGAAGTCCATTATAAAAAAACAAAAAACCCAAGCCTTTTAAAAGTCCGGTTCAATTATCACTACTGAAACAGAGATCTAAATGGCACTTAATTCATGTAAGGTGTGTGCAATATTAAAGGATTTAAAGTGCTTTGCAATCTGGACAGAGTTTACACATTGACTATCTGATTTGTAAGCAACTGACTAAACCTTGATGCAGAGAATTTAATTGATTCTTGTACACAAAAGCTCCCCATTAGAACTGGATAAGCATTGTTCAGACTTGCATGATGCTTCCAAAGTGTCTTCAAAATACTGTTGGGGGAGTTCAGCTAATTTAATCTCTTCTGATTATTTTTCATAAAACCAAATAGACACCATATTTTTTAAAAAGCATGTATTTGATAATGAATTTTCAGAAGTAACCAATTTAGGACAACTAACAAAAATGAAATTTTTCCGCTTTTATCGAATATTATTTTGATAAAAAATATATTGTCCAATGTTGAGCATTTCTTGATATGACTGATTATTCCATTTTCATAAAAAAAAATTTATATGTATAAGTGTCAAAAAAGTTTCTAGTGCAATACAAAATGTCCAAAATCTGTACAGACTAAAAAAAAATTAAGCTTAAACTTTCACCATTATATGGAGATCATTTTAATTATCTATAAACTTGATTTACTAGTTTATTACACTGAATTAGCTCGTAATATCTATTAGAAAAGGTGTGTCAGTCCAAATTAGAATCATACAATTTTTGCTTCAACAGCGTAAAGATCAGATCGTTTCTGGGAAAGAATGGGGATTTGTTCACGGATTTCTTCAGCCTTCTTTAAGTCTGTATAAAAAAAATAAAGCCATATTAATCCCAATTCTGTTTCCTTCCCATACCGATATGATTATGCAGCACGTAGCTTGAACACATTTCCTATCAATCATTAATTAAAGCATCTGTATTTTTCCTGTGTTGTATGGTCAAAATAAAATCAATGCCCTAGGAGCTGTATGATCCTAGAAAAGGATGCATGCTTTAATGAATTACCGAAAAGAGCTGCATTTGTGTTCCAGCAACTTCTGATATATATATTCTCAACCAAATTTGAAGCAATGCATTGAGTTAGTATCTAATACTGTATATTTACATCTCATAAGCCAATCTTATATCAACAGATTGATCTGTTATAATTGCTGCACCTCTTATAGATGAAAAGTTCTTAAATGACTTCACTTGTCTAATCTTATGAATATGATCAATATTCCAACTAATAGGTAGAAAACTGAGACAGAACTACTTAAGCTAATTTATAAGACCATCTATAAGATTTAAATTAGCCCTAAAACCTCACCTATTTCTGCGTAGACAATTGTTTCTTCAGTACCAGCTTTGGCTATAACCTCACCCCTAGAAAGGAAAACAAAAATTTAACAAATCATACATTGCCATAGTGTGACCTTACTGATTTCTTATTCCCCTGCTGGTCTTCAAGGGAAACATCCTAGAACTGTTCTAGAAATTTACATCTTCCTCACTTTTTATGTTCTTCTGAATAGTGATTGAAAAATGGGAAGGAGACATTATTCAAGGAGCAGAAATTGGCAAAAATCACTTCCTCTTCAGAGTTGCTTCTCAACAGAATTTAACCTGCATTTGTTCAAAGGCAATAGAGAATCTGGAAAAAAAAACCAATGTGCTTTCAAGTCCTACACAATTCTTTCTTGTTAAACATAAAGACAACTACAATGTACTTCAGTTTAAGACATTTTTTCCTATCCTGATAGAACTGTGACATGCTGAATAATTCCTTCCAAATGGAGTCCTAACATACCTGATGGTCAGGAGTTAATGAAAATTGATCTAGGGAATCAGTATTACAGATCAGGAATGTATGAATATGTTCCACGTTTGTTATTATCTTCATTGACTTCACAGGTTCAAGCTGTGGGCATGTAAGCCACAGCTTTCTATGAGGTATCTAAAGGCTGTGTCTATTTTGCACTATTTCATAGTAGAAAGGAACTGGAATGAACCTATCATTTCAAGGCTTATCTTTGCTTTCCAGCTAAAAAAAGAAGTCACATGAAAAAAGAGCAAGTGTTAACATTTCAAAGGTAACAAGTGTGCTAAGATTCAACTTAGACAAGATAAAAACTTTATAATATGTAAAATGTAACCTGTTTTGAGTATTTTAAACTTCTTGTACTTATTAATTGTATTGTTGATTTTCTTATAACGGAAAATTGTAAAGCAATAAGTTCTGAAGTAATGTAGGTTTGTACTTCGATACTGAAATGCATTGCCATATCTTTCTCACATGCACCTCCCCTTTTTCCTGTACTGTTGGAAGATATTATTAGAAATAATGATACAAAATTGATACTTTCATCAAAGATTTTATAATCATTTTTTCTTTTCCGAAAAAAAACTAGTCAAAAATAATATGAAAAATTTCGGGCATGGGGATTTTAAAAAGAGAACAGAATACCTAAATCTGTTGCCAGCCATGTTATTAAAAATACATTTGAAGTTGAACTTATCCTTTGATGATGTTATCTGTGAATTCAAACAAAATGGAAGGAGCAAATCTTTAGTGACCAGGGCAAAGATACAATTTTTTCTACCAAGGTGCCATAGAAATAGTGAACATTCTTTCTGCCAGTTTAGGTAGCTGTGAGGGTAATTTGCTACTTAAAAAAGAGTTACTGTAATTTTAATTTGGCAATTATGTCTTGTTGGTTGTGACATATTATGGAAGAAGTTTGTTTTCATACTTACCATGGATTTACTACTGTACTATGTCCCCATGCTACATAAGATCCTGTCTCATCCCTAGCAGGAGATGCAGTTGCTACATAGACCTGGTTATCCACAGCTCTGCCAAAAAAGAACAGGAAGAGTATCAGCCAATTAGTCCTTTCAGGTGGAATTAAAAAAATGTGGCACTTGAGTTCTTAAATATGGAAAACTGGGTTTTTTAGTTCAATAAAATTCAATAGCAAGCACTATATTCAATCACAAGTATCTAAAAGATCAGCAAATGAGATAACATAGTTTGAATTTAAATTTTTAAAAAGTTAAATACAATAACCAAGAGTTACAGTATCGAGAGTCATTTCAATGTAAGAAATGTAGGAATGAGTGTAAGCACAAATAAATTGATTCATACCGGCCTCTCTGTAGCAGTTCCCAGTGGGCTGGCCCAGTTGTCAAGTTAAAAGCCCCTGGATATACTAGGAGTTTGCAACCTTAGTTCAAAAGGAAGGTAGAGGACAATATGAACAGAAAGATACAACATAGGCAATAGAAAGTCATCACTGTTGATTTGATACACATTAGTCAATCTTTCTATTTGTTTTCATTGGTGAGTCTTTGAAGTATATTTGAAACTATAATTTTAAGAAGTCAGTTTGCACTAAAACCTGCCAGATTAGAATTCCAAACTGATAATTGAAATAAAACTGATAATTGAAAACAATGGTTTGCTCCCAGACCCAGGGTTGATGTTTATTGGTTTGAAGCCTCTGTTTTGTCTTATTGATTTTGTTGTTTATTGGATCATTTTAGTCTGAACTGTCTGGTTTTATATTTTTAGTTATTTTTGTTTTTTCTACTTTTGTACACTATCCAGTATCCACTGGAGATTGACAGCTAATAAATTTAAATAATTCTCCTCCTCCTCCTCCTCCTCCACCACCACCACCACCACCACCACCACCACGGGAATAATTACCTGCCACTTGACTTCCAGAAAAGGTGCCTTGGAAATGACGCTTTGATTTGCCAGTGGAATGGTTGCGATTTTGAAGCAGGAAACCTATTAGAACTAGTTCTAATTCTATCCAATTGTAGCACAATTGGAATGGCCTCAACACTATAGGCCTTTGGGAAAGTGATGAAGACCTGCCTTTTTCCCCAAGCACTGGGCCAGGATGAATAAGATATATTTTTACTGCATGCTCAACTTTGTCTCCTTTAAGTTTATTTGATTTGATAATTGTATAGTGTTTTTATCCTTATTTGCTGCCCAGAGTTTCTGTAGTAGCAGGTGGGTAGCCATGTGCATTTAATTTAATAAATAAAGAGATGTTCTCAATTTTACCTTTCTGGGTGTAGATTTGAGCCAGCTCAGGAAATCGGATGTCGTAACAAATGCCAATTCCTATTTTACAGTATGCTGTATCAAAACAAAACATGCAAGACATTTCTTATTACTACAGTTCAACATTGATGTCTCTAGAATGCTAATTTTTTGTATCTATTACATCTATTTTTGTATGTAAATTTTGTTTGGATTTATTATGTCATAGGAAAGGAATACTGATTTATAATATTCATATAACAAGTTTGCTCTAAATCACAAGTTTCATCTCAGGAATTAAATATTTCATCAATTCATATCTTTCTACTAAAAACAGGGTTAAGAGTTCTGCAAATAAGTAGTTACATATAGAGAAATTCACAGAATATCTTTTCCAGCACCATGAGGTACATTAAACATTTATAATGGTATATTTGGCTGTAATTTATAATCAAATATGATGGAACTGAATGTATATTGAGATAAATGTTAATCGTGAATAAAATCCTAGCTTTAGAAAAAAACATGAGATTAAAAAAATCTGAAAGTGAATTAGTTTTCACTGTCAAAAACAAAGCTCTTTTACTTACGCGTTTCAAACACAGAAAACTTGTCACCCGGACTAAGAGTTTCTGATTCTTGAAATCGGATTTTTCCAGGCACATCAATGTCAAACAAATGAATCTGTTTTAAGAGAAGACAATTCTTTAAAGATTCTTTAATTGTATTTTCTCTGCACAAATTCACAGAATGGTACATTGAATGCAATGGTACAATGAGCCCTTCCAACTAGGGAAAAGCTTTGTCCAGGCAGAAATGATCAATCACTAAACTGAAAGATGACACTGATACATTGAGAGTCAACCATTTTGGTCCTAGCTTCTTGTGAGTAGTAAAAAACTTCAAGACATTTCTGTTAAATCTGAACTAAGTAGATTCAAATAAACTTTAAGCCACTTGTCTGGAAAAAAAGGTATGCTTTTTAATTGCAAGATATTGGCAGGTACAAAGCAGCTACACTTTGTCTTAATGCAACTATATGTACAAACCAAAGTAGCATGTCAAATAATACTGTATACACAAGCAACATATACTTCATTTAGATCACCTGAAAAGACTTAACTTTCAGAAAGCATTATAGAAGTTTTGTTTAATGGGTATGACTACTGGTTAAATTACAATGTCATTCCACCAGCTCTTCCTAGAAATAATTAAATCAGGATCATTGCAACAGTAAATAATTTACTGGTTAATATAGTTAACAAGGAGTGGATGATTGTGACAGAGGTGGAGTGCTGAAATGTCCTTACTTTTCTGTTACTTTGACACACAAGCATACTATTTCTAGTTTATTGCAGTAAATACAAAAATGTTTCTACAAGTTAAAATTTCAGTTTATAGCTTTAGCCTAAATCTCTTTACTATTATCACTGTCATATAAATGATTAAAAAAATGTTTGATATTGACAGTATAGGGAAAGGAACAAATGCCCCTAGGCTCAGATGCAGTCAATTTAAATCCAGATATGAAAATGGAACTGAGATACCTTGAGTTCTTCTATAAAAATTAGAGCCTGTGCTAAGTTCAGATTCTCAAGCTAAATTCTAGTATTTTTAAAAGTTGTTTTTAAGTAAATTCCTATGTTGTAGGAGGGGAAATGTATGCAACCAATTTCATTGTGTACATGATGTGCAATGACAATAAAGGCTATATTATGTGACAAAAAATATATCTAGAATTCTATTAAATTATGCAAATGAGACCTCCACGCTTCTCTCAATAAAGAATTGTATTATTATTTTTAAAAATGAGGCATATACAGGTAGTCCTCAACTTACAACAGTTTATTTAGTGATCCTTTAAAGTTATAATGGCACTGAAAAAGTGACTTATGACCATTTTTCACATATACAACATTTATAGCATCCTAATGATTCAAATGGTCAAAACTCAGGTGCTTGGCAACTGCTTCATACTTACGACTGTTACTGTTTCCCCAAGGTCATGTGACTTGCAACCTTTTAACAATCAAAATCAATTGGAAAGCTGGATTAACAACCATGTTGCCAATTTATCAACTGCAGTGATTCACTTAACAACTGTGGCAAGAAAATTTGTAAAATGGGGCAAAATTCACTTAACAAATGTCTCACTTAATAGCAGAAATTTTGGGGTCTATTGTGATTGTTAGTTGAGGACTACCTGTAATGTTATCAAACTGAAAGAAAAAGGGACAAACAATTTTTTTTTTTACCTTTCTGTATTTAGCTAACATAGTGCCATCAGGACCAAAAGCTGTACATGTATTATACAATTTTCCTGCATCGTCCTCTGGAATAGAACCTGTTAAAAACAAAAATTATTATGTAGTCAAATAAATGGGTTGTATTTATATACAAAAGTAAAATTTAAAAACAACAATTTACCTCCAATGAGATATATACCACATTCCTTTGCAATATCGGAGAGCTTCTGTGTGCAGTCTCCAGGAATTTTCTCTGCATATTCTGGGAAATATTTTGTGCCATAGGGACAATTGAAGCATTCCTATAATGAGAATCAAAGTAACCATATTTAAGGTATATATATATATATATATA